AACAGGATCTCTGACATCCGTACAAAGCATGGACAAGAAAAGGTCGTGCAGGTGAAGAGAGGACCTCTGGCTCTGTCATGGGGACCTGAAGAGTACCATTAGTTATACATACTTGAAAATGCTAAATGATTTATTTGTCCTAGACTTTTAGTGTTTGAAAGGATTCTTGAGATGTAGTTCAATAACCTTTCAGAAACAAGAACCATGAGATCAATAAGATCTAAAGAGGTCTAAGCCAAAGAGGGGAAAAATCAGAGGAAAAACTACAGAAATAAATAAAGGTAAGATTAATTTGTATATTCTTCCATTTGGGGACAGTAGCAATATGACCAACTAAGTCTTGTATGGACTTTTTTTTTTTTTTGAGAGAGAGAGATTTTTTTGCTAGGGGCTGGCAGATGGTGTGGTGGTTAAGAGTGCTGGACTCCCACATGGCCAACTGTGGTTCAAGTCCCGGACCTGGTGACTTTCTTTCTCAATTTCCCTCTCTCCCTCTTCTTCTCTGCCACTCTCTGGGCAAATTAAAAAATAAATAAAGTTAAATAAATAATTCTTTTTTTTTCTTTTCTTTTTGGAGAGGTTTTTGCTATAGGGCGCATATGCTCACCAGAAAGACAGAGACAGACAGAAAGTGAAAAATCACCCCCCAGGGGGGATGGCCACGCTGCAATCCCTTCTCCTCCATTCTCTTCTTGGGATCTTGGACACACATGTACACGCACCTGGCATGTTTAAGCCACTGGGTCTGGGACTCTAACTGCAGTCAACTACATGGTAAGTTCAGCGACATAGCCATTATGCTAACTGCTGGTCCCAATAAAATAATTCCTTAAAAAAACAACAAGAGATTTTTGCTACAGGGCACATGCACTCGCCAAAGAGAGAGAGAAAGAGAGAGAAATCAACCCCCAGGGAGGATGGCCACGTCACAATGCCTTCTCCTCCATTCTCCTCTCAGGATTCTGGGCATCCACACACACATATGCATGAGTTTCGAGTTGCTGGGTCCAGGACTTGAGTCGTGGTCGGTCATGTGGGAGTCCAATACCTTAACCTCTATGCCACCTTCTGACTCCACTGTATGGAACTTCTAAGTCATTTGAAACATGATTACACTGTAATATGAGAATAGATACAACAGTGTATTACAGGGGTTCCCTATACTGGGGTTCTTTCAACAGGACTCTGCACTGAACTATGATGACAATGACAAACACACATCTCTTTTATATTATCATTTAACCCTCTGAACCTAAGAAAGGGTACAACCCCTGGACCACTTAGGGAAGTCCAAGGAATGGTTCTGATTTCTGCTCCCTTAGCTAGTCACTTGCCCTCCACATAAAGTATAAGCCACAACACTTTCCACAGCTTCTGTATACTTTACCAGGGCTTCTTACCACAACCAAAAGGTCACTAATGTTTCAACTCAGTTTTGCAACACTAATGGTGAACAAATACCTCTTAAGACAACTAGAGACTACTACTTTGTATCTTTTTTTTTTTTTTTTTAAGAGAGATTTTTGCTATAGGGAGAATGCACTCACAGGAGACAGCAAGAGAGAAAGTGAGAAATCACCCCCCCCCAGGGGGGATGGTCATACTGCAATCCCTTCTCCTCCATTTTCCTCTTGGGATTTGGGGCATGCATGCACACGAACCCAGCATGAGTTTTAAGCCACTGGGTCTAGGACTTGAACTGTGGTTGACTATGTGGGAGTCCAATGACATTAACCATTATGCCATCTGCTGGTCCCTTTGTATCTTTTTTGACTGTCTACAGTGTGAATACAGTTTGGTCCAAAATTATCCTCAGTAAAGAGGAAATTACTCCAACTGCTGTAAATCTAAGAGTAAGAGTCCAACCTTTTAATTAATTTATTTCTTTAAAAGAATTATTTTATTTAACTTTATTGGGAGTCCAATGACATTAACCATTATGCCATCTGCTGGTCCCTTTGTATCTTTTTTGACTGTCTACAGTGTGAATACAGTTTGGTCCAAAATTATCCTCAGTAAAGAGGAAATTACTCCAACTGCTGTAAATCTAAGAGTAAGAGTCCAACCTTTTAATTAATTTATTTCTTTAAAAGAATTATTTTATTTAACTTTATTTGTTATCATTTTCATCATTATTGTTATCATTATTTTCCAGTTTTTGATCAGAGAGAGAAAGAGGGAAAGTGAGAAAGCAGGTCACCAGGTCCAGGACTTGAACCATGGTCAGCCATGTGGGAGTCCAGCCACCATGCCACCTGTAGGCCCCCCAACCTTTTAATTTATTTACATGGAATCAAGGCATCGTACTTCTAAAGGTCCAGAGATAGACGATTCTAATGTATGTCTACATTTAAGGCTCTCATTACACACATTGAATCAAATTGCATATTCAACGTCTTTCTATGATGAAATCTCTCTCTTCTGTGAATTTCTCAAGTAGAATGGCATCTGATTTGTTATAATGGCTATGATACTCAGGACATTATTAGACACATCTTTTACATTCGTAAATTCATTCTTATGTGCTTTCATATTTGAAAGTTTTCCTTACTAACTGCTTGCACATTTAAAGCTAATTCTGTTATCTTTTTTAAAAAATAATTATTTTAATTTTATTGATCATTACTTTTTTTTTTTTTAGTTTGACCAGAGAGTGTCAAAAGGGAAAGTGAGAAAGCAAGCAGCCAGGTCGGGGACTCGGACCATCCTGGTCAGCCACGTGGGACTCGAGTCCAGTGCCCCAAATACCATGCCACCTGCCGACCCCTGATTCTGTTATTTTTATTGTTGCCATTTTAAACTACAGCTCTATGCCTTTTTACTTGTGCTTACTTTTACTATACTTACCTATAGAAAAGTAGAGACGACAGTAGAATAAACTCCCATGGACCTACTTAGCTAACAATTAGCAACATATGACCCATCTTACCCATCTTACACGTACATCCTCCCACTCCTAGGACTCGGATTAGTTTAAACCCATCAGTATGTATTGTCTGAGAGTAAGGGCTTTATGTGCAAAAAAAAAAAAAAAAAAAAAGAATCACAACATTACATCTACAATTTTACAAAAATTCTTTACCATCATCTTATATACATTCAGTATTCAAATTTCCTTAGTTATTGCATAAATGTTTTTACAGTTAGTTTGCTAAAGATACAAAAAAAATCCACTCATACATTTGATTAACATGTTTTTTTTTTTCCTTCTGTTTTCTTTTTCTTTCTTTTTTTTTTTTTTGGCTATAAGATGTGTGCACTCACAGGAGAGAGATAGAAGGAGAGAAAGTGAGAAAACACCCCAGGAAAGAAGACCACGCTGCAGACCCTTCTCCTCCATTCTCCTCTCAGGATTTTGGGCACACACACCCACATGCCCGATGTTTTTAAAGCCACTGGGTCCAGGACTCAAATTGCACAGTTAGTCCTTATGGGATCCAGTTCCCTTAACCACCACGCCATTTAGCTAGCCCTGATTAACATTTCTTTTACATTTCTTTTCAACTATAATAATTCTCCCGTTTTTCTTATTATCTATTTGTCAAATAAACAAGGTCACTGTCCTGTACGATGCTTCTCAAACTTTAAGATACAAGCAAATTACCTGAGGGTCTTGTTAAAATGCAGACTGATTCAGTTGGCCAAAGGCTGAGAATCTACATTTCTGTCAAGGGCTCAGGAGACACCAAAGCTGCTGGTTTGCAAACACACTTTGAGAGTCACGAGGCTGTCCAATTCCCCATATTCTGCATTGGACTAACTGCACCCCTGAGATGTGGTTTAACATAATTCTCATATTCACTGCAGTGCAAGAATATTTAAGGAGATGGGGCCAGGTGGTGACACAGCAGGACAACACAGCGCTCTGCTCTGCAAGGCAGACCCACACCGGAAGGTTACTGGTGCACATCACAGACCGCCCAGAGCACGCAGGGCACATGTGTACCCATGAGCTGGCTGGTTGAAGACGTGGGCAGATCCCAGCATCGGGACCCTACTGGGCATGCTGTCTTTCTCTCTCACTCAGTAATAAACGTTATCCCCAAAAGAGGGGCCAGATGGTGGTGCAGTGGTAAAGAGCAATACACCATGAGGCAGTCTCACATGGGAGGGTGTCCAGTTCAAGTCCGGAAACCTTGCTGAGTTTTCCTGGCACACACTTGCCAATGATCCAGGGCTAGCTGAGAGCTCAGGCTGGATGGCAGCACCAGGACCCTGCTGCTGGTGTGCTATGTCTGTCACTTACGGAAGAAATAAACTTAAAAAACTAAGTACAGAGACCAGCAGTTAGTGTAATGGCTATGTCGCTGGACTCCCATGTAGTCGACCATGGTTCGCGTCCCGGACCTGGTGGCTTAAAACTCACACCAGGCACGTGTGCGTGCGTGCCCAAGATCCTGAGAGGAGAACGGAGGAGAGGGTACTGTTGCGTGACCATCCCCCCTGGGGGGTGATTTCTCACTTTCTGTCTCTCTGTCTCTGTCTGTCTGTCTCTGTCTGTCTGGCGAGCGCACATGCCCTATAGAAAAAAACCTCTTCAAAAAAAAAATTCCTTAAAACTAAGTACATATTTCTTTTAAGAGAGATTTTTGCTATAGGGCATGTGCGCTCAACAGAGAGATAGACAGAAAGCGAGGAATCACCCCGTAGAGGAGTATAG